CAGCTGCAAAGAATGACGTGGCTGTCCGGGCGGGCGGATCCCCACACAGCCGCTTTTTTTTTTAAGTGTGACAGCTAGCGGGGGTGAGAAGATCTGTCCTGAATATGGGTGTAACATGTAACATGTTACGAAAGGTGAACTTATCCTTTAGTGGGGGTTATGCCTTCCACTGGATCAACAGTGATTCTAGGATTTGGTATATGGAGGTTCTCTATTGGTTGAGCTAGATGGATTTTTTTTATCTAGCAAAGGCAAATAGACTGTGCACTTTGCAAGTGAAGTTGCACTTTAAAAGGGAACTTGCTCCAGAGTTTAATAGATAAGGGGAAGCTCTGCTGACTTCCATCATCCAATCATGTGCAAGCAAAAATGTTTTTTGTTTATTTTCCTTGGGAATTCTTTTCAAAGTGAAGCTTTGGCTCATTTAGTAAGCTCTTGAACAAATTCCCTTACGGAATGCAGCTGCACTTGCAAAGTGCACGGTCTAGTTGCCTTTAGTAAATGAACTCCTATGTAACCATAGGGGTTACATATCCTGGTTGTACCACTATGGAGTATTCTTAAATTTCCTGAAGAAGCCAGCAATGGCAAAACATGATGGCTTTAAATTGAACAATACTGTTTATATTCTGTTCTTATGTAAAATAAAATATTGTATTTTATTTTATTTGTGTTTTTTTGGCACCTTTAAAATCCCTTTACCTATGATACTATATGTTATACACTCTATGGGATATGGTGCCTTTGGTTCCCAGGCCTACTGGTGTATTTTCAAAGTTTACCATGTATGTAACTATTGGGAAAAAAAGTGAATTGGTTAACTTTCCACCATCTACTTAAGGCTAGGTTCACACCTATGCATTTTGCATTTGATCCGTTTCTGCAGTGCTTTTTGCGGTCCATTTTGCGTTTTTGCACATGCTTTTTTGACGCTTTTTTATGCGTTTCGCTTTTTTTTTTCTTGTTGCTAGGCAGATTAACCATTTGACGCCCGGCCAATAGCCGTATGGCGGCCGGAAAAATGCACTAGCTTTTCGGGAGGCCGCCATTTGGCGTACTCCCGCACATGCGCAGTTCGCAGAGCCGCGCAGCGGCGTGATTTGTCACCGGCCGTGCACCTCAGACATGGCCGATGACTGATCTGAGTATCGTCCCCGACTGGTACCATGTGATCTGCTGTGACCAATCACAGCAGGTCACATGACAGTTGTATACAATGGATGGCTTCATTCATGCCATCCATTGTATACTAGTGTCTAGCTGTGAATGGTCACAGCTAATCACATGCACATGTCATGTGATTAGCTGTGGCCAAATCACAGCTAAACACAACAAAAAAAAACAAAAAACCCCTGATGTCATTCAGGTAAATGCTTGCTTATAGCAAAGAAATTCTTTGCTATAAGCAAATTGTGTAAAAAAAAAAAAAAATACTGATCACTTCCCCAAAGTAGTACAATGTTACTATGTTAAAAAATCTTGAAAAAAAGAAAAAATTTGAAAAAATAAAAATAAAAAAATATATATTTTTTTCACACTGTCACCAGTCAGTGTCCCTGATCACCGCCATGCCAGTTATATGATGACGCTGTACTGCACTGGTGACAATATGTAAAAGAAAAATAGTGAAAATTATTTTTTTAATTTTTTAATTTTCTGAAAAATTATGACAAAAAAAATACAACTTCAAAAAACTCGCCATGCCTCTTATGAAGTACGTTGGACTGTCTACTCTGCAAAAAGGGGTCATTTGGGGATATCTGTACTGTTCTGACATTCTTGGACCTCAAGAAATTAGATTGGCCGTCAGTACTTCAGGATTGATCAATATTCAGATCTATACCATAGTTTGTGAACTCTATAACTTTCCTACAAACTAACAAATACATCCTAATTTGGGTTATTTTCACCAAAGACATGTAGCAGAATACATCTCGGCCTAAATTTATTAAGAACAATTATTTATTTGCAAACTTTTATAACAGAAACAAAGAAAAACGTGTTTTTTTTTTTTCAAAATTTTCGGTCTTTTTTTGTTAATTGAGCAAAAAATAAAAAACCACCCCAGTGGTGATTAAATACCACCAAAAGAAAGCTCTAGTTGTGTGAAGAAAATTATAAAATTTTAGTTTGGGTACAATGTTGTATGACCGCGCAATTGTCATTCAAAGTGTGAGAGCGCTGAAACCTGAAAACTGGCCTGGGCAGGAAGGTGCAAAATTGCCCGGTATTGAATTGGTTAAACAGCATCAAAAACACAGCAAAAACGCACTACATGCATTTCTGCAGCGTTTCCATTGAAGCCTATATAACTAAAAATGCAACTTTTTGCATTTAAAAAAGTCCCTGACCCTTTCAAAAAAATGCACCAGGTGAAAATGTGGAAATGTGAACGTGTCCCATCGGAAATCATGTTAAATTGATTTTAGTGCGTTGCTGCAAAACGGTGCAGAAAACGCATAGGTGTGAACCTAGGGTAAAAGGCGGCTATCAGTTTTGGGTGGACTCTCCTTAATAGAGATATATTGATGGGAAATGAGGTGAGCATGCTATTCCATGCCCACGTATGAAAGGTTATAATATATGGAAGCTTTTTTCCAAAATTGGGCATTAGAAAGGTAATATGTCCAGCAACCAGTGGTCTATTTAGGTTTCGTGCTGCCCTAGGCAACACAAAAATCGTCCCACCATGGAGAGACCCTGACACCGACCAACACCCCCCTCCCCCACGAAGAGAGCCTGACATTGACCAACAACACCCCAGACCCCCACCTGAGAGAGCCTCTCACTACCACCTCCCCCCGTACACTGGCAACCCCCCACCCTTATGAGAGAGAAGACACTCACCTTCACAGCTCCGGACAAGAGTCAGGTTCTGCATACACCATAAAGCAGCTGCAGCCTATCTCAGATCCCACCTGGTTACCATGCTGCGTGTCCCTTCTTCCATCCCTTCTTTTGGGGGTGCAGCACTGCCCCCCTGAAAAATGCCACTGCCCCCCCTGAAAGTTGCCACTGCCCCCCTGAAAAATGCTGCTGCCCCCCTGAAAGATGCCGCTGCCCCCCCTGAAAAGTGCCACTGCCCCCCCTGAAAAATGCTGGTGCCCCCCCCCCCCTGAAAGATGCCACTGCCCCCCTCAAAGATGCCACTGCCGCACCCTGAAAAATGCTTCTGCCCCCCTGAAAGATGCCGCTGCCCCCCCTGAAAGTTGCCACTGCCCCCCTGAAAAGTGCCACTGCCCCCCCTGAAAGTTGCCGCTGCCCCCCTGAAAAATTCTGCTGCCCCCCTGAAAGATGCCGCTGCCCCCCTGAAAAATGCCGCCCTAGGCAAATGCCTTGTGGTAAATACGCCCCTGCCAGCAACTATCATGAAGGATACGTCTTTTTTTTTTTCAACTGCAAAGATCATTCTGGATCAGGGGCGGACTGACAACTCATGGGGCCCCCGGGCAATAGGGGATCATGGGGCCCCTGTGTCCTTCCCCAAACTCAAAAAAGCTTATGAAAAAGGTCCCAGGGGCATCTTATGGGGCCCCCTACTGACCCCGGGGCCCTCGGGCAGTGCCCGAGTTTGCAAATGGTCAATCCGGCCCTGTTCTGGATGGAGCCTGCAACACCACTATTGCCATCTGACATTTCTAGTTCTGATTTGTATTGCATTTCTTGTCCATTTTTAGAAGGAATACAAAGAGTTAATGAGGAGCGTGCAGCAGATTGTGTATTGGTGATTATAGCTTTGGAGAGTTCACTGATAGTGAGTTTGATTTGTATGTAGAGCAGGATCATATCTTCTTGTACTAAGCCTGTGACCCCGACACGCAGGCTCTGTGCAGCTCTTGGCCTGGCCCGGCTTACACTGTGTACGTGCCGAGTGCAGTTAAAGAGACACGACTTCTTGGACTCGCAAGTCACATGACTCCTTCTCAACAAGTACACGCTTACCCTGTGCAAAGGGAGCCGAGTCTGTTCCAATTTCCATGTCAGAGTGATATTTTCTTTCTTGGGCAGCGTCTTATTATTATAATTATTTTTTTTTAGTGCAATAATAAATCTGATAAAAAAAAAGAAATGAAAAAAAATTGTACTAAAAGAAAATGAATGCAGCCACCACATCTATGGACCGGTAAGCTGCAATATATTATATTTTTGTTCATGGGTTCAGAGACACTTGAAGTGATTTAAATCCGGCATTGGCCCAAAACCGGAATAAGCGATTTGGTTGAACTGACTCTTTCACGTGGTCACCCACCCATTTGGCACGAGATGTCCAAATTCCTAGCAAGGCAGAGCCACACCAAATGATGGTGCAAAATGCCAAAAGTCATTTAGGAATTTAGGGGGGAGAGTATGGAAAATTGATTTAACCTGATTTGATGTGTTTAAGTAGAATGGAGCAGAAAAAATGTAAAATGTTGTATTTGTTACTGCTAGAATGAAGCCGTACAGAAGATGGAAGGTTTACCTTCTGCGGGTCTCACACTGTTGTGGCATGTTAGAGTGCGCATGTTAACACACGTTATGTCACGTGTTAGGCTGACCATACATGGTTAGAAAATCTTATGAAAAAACGGTCATATTTGATAAAGACCTGTCGAGCATGTATGCGATAACGCCATCATTGTATCGAAATATTTCCCCCAATTATTGACATTCTTGTTCGTTAACAACATAAATGGTATATTTTTCATCGATCGGCGGTGATGTAAAGATTTTTTGACCTTTTGGGAACGCTGCCACTCGCCAACTGTATTTAAAAGAAAGATCTTTGTTTTCGTTACTTGTACTTCCAGGGTTATAGTTTAACACACGAATGCGCTGTAGGTTTTTTCAAACTGTTTCCGATCAATTCCACTGAATCGAAAATCGATAGTTTAAAGCGGAGTTCTACTCACTCTGTAAAAAAATAAAAGTCAGCAGCTACAAAAACTGTAGCTACTGACTTTTAAAAAACAGCCACTTACCTGTCCCACAATCCCGCGTTGCCCCCACCGCAGCCCGTTTCACCGGATGTCCTGTATTCCAGGAGGCCGGCATCTTCAGTGTGGGCACCCGGCTGTGATAGCTTGCGGCTTCACAGCCGGGTACCCACTGCGCATGCATGAGAAGAACTGCACTTTCTGAATGGCCACCTGTAGTCTTCTGGGACCTGTCACATGTACTATGTCTGCAGTCTCCGGTCATCTCCTGTACTGTGTCTGCAGTCTCTGGTCATCTCCTGTACTATGTCTGCAGTCTCTGGTCATCTCCTGTACTATGTCTGCAGTCTCTGGTCATCTCCTGTACTGTGTCCGCAGTCTCCGGTCATCTCCTGTACGGTGTCCGCAGTCTCTGGTCATCTCCTGTACTGTGTCTGCAGTCTCTGGTCATCTCCTGTACTGTGTCCGCAGTCTCTGGTCATCTCCTGTACTGTGTCCGCAGTCTCTGGTCATCTCCTGTACTGTGTCCGCAGTCTCTGGTCATCCCCTGTACTGTGTCCGCATTCTCTGGTCATCTCCTGTACTGTGTCCGCAGTCTCTGGTCATCTCCTGTACTGTGTCCGCAGTCTCTGGTCATCTCCTGTACTATGTCTGCAGTCTCTGGTCATCTCCTGTACTATGTCCGTAGTCTCTGGTCATCTCCTGTACTGTGTCTGCAGTCTCTGGTCATCTCCTGTACTGTGTCCGCAGTCTCTGGTCATCTCCTGTACTATGTCCGCAGTCTCCGGTCATCTCCTGTACTATGTCTGCAGTCTCCGGTCATCTCCTGTACTGTGTCCGCATTCTCTGGTCATCTCCTGTACTGTGTCCGCAGTCTCTGGTCATCTCCTGTACTGTGTGTGCAGTCTCTGGTCATCTCCTGTACTATGTCTGCAGTCTCTGGTCATCTCCTGTACTATGTCCGCAGTCTCTGGTCATCTCCTGTACTGTGTCTGCAGTCTCTGGTCATCTCCTGTACTGTGTCCGCAGTCTCTGGTCATCTCCTGTACTGTGTCCGCAGTCTCTGGTCATCTCCTGTACTGTGTCCGCAGTCTCTGGTCATCTCCTGTACTGTGTCGGCAGTCTCTGGTCATCTCCTGTACTGTGTCGGCAGTCTCTGGTCATCTCCTGTACTGTGTCTGCAGTCTCTGGTCATCTCCTGTACTGTGTCCGCAGTCTCTGGTCATCTCCTGTTCTGTGTCCGCAGTCTCTGGTCATCTCCTGTACTATGTCCGCAGTCTCTGGTCATCTCCTGTACTATGTCCGCAGTCTCTGGTCATCTCCTGTACTATGTCCGCAGTCTCTGGTCATCTCCTGTACTGTGTCCGCAGTCTCTGGTTATCTCCTGTACTATGTCTGCAGTCTCTGGTCATTTCCTGTACTATGTCTGCAGTCTCTGGTCATCTCCTGTACTATGTCTGCAGTCCATTGGTTCAGAATATTTTTTTTCTTGCTTTCCTCCTCTAAAATCTAGGTGCGTCTTATGATCAGGTGCGTCTTATAGCGCAAAAAATACGGGTACTTTAGAATCTTCATTGATCGGAAAACCAAATACACCCTTCCCTTCTTAAGTCTTTGTTTACGACTTGCATGCAGGTGCATTTTAAAATGTGAATTTCCATTTAAACCAATTAGCACTATTTCCAGCTGCAGCGCACATGTCCTGGGTTTTAGTGCTTTTTTGACATTTGCATGCTTGGCTTTGAGGCAAATAAAGTATTTTTCCATGAGATGTCTTTAATGGCTGTGCCAGATGATCCCACACATGTTCTTGATCTGTGCCCTGCAGACCTTATTGAAGGGTCATTCAACCCACAACTGATTCTAATGTGTCTCAGGGTGTATGGTAAAAGTATCTCTATACATGAGGACTATGCAGGGGGCTTCACTTCACGCACCCCCCTTTGGACATTTTCACATTTGTAGTGTTACAGCCAGGAATTAAATTTCATTTAATTGGAACTGTTGATGGATTACACTGAGGATCAATCTAATTTAGGGCTCTTTCACACGGGACTGACCCGTTTAGCAGATCCGCTTGCTCAGGGGGGATCTCTCCGCTGATCCCTGCTGAGCAAGCGGATGACAGGTCTGCGTCTCCTCCACTGCTGCAGAGGAGACACGGAGCTGTTCGCTCTCCTTAATGGGCGGTTGGATGATGAAAACAGAACTCCTGTCCGTTTTCATCCGATCCGACGGACAGAAGAGGAATTGGATCCCCATCCGTCCCTTTTTGGTGGATTGGATCGGATGTCGGCGGATGAAAACAGACACATGTCCATTTACACTCGCCGCTCCATAGACGAGAATGGAGGTTCCGATCGAGTCTGTCTGAAAAACGGGCAGGTGGACCCGATCAGAGTGTTTGTGTGAAAGAGCCCTTAGGCTACGTTCACACTAGCTTTGTCAGCAGGCATCAGACAGGCATTTGGGAAGCGTTTTTAACGCTTCTCATGTGCCTATGAAAATTCTGCACATGGCAGCACACAGTGCTGTTCACACTGAAGCACTAGCGTAGCTTTGCGTCATGGCAAAACTGGCGGCTCATATCGAGTCAGTAGGAGTTAAAGCCTCCTATTCAAGTCTATGGTGCCGCTCCTCAAACGCCTGGCAGGCATTTGCAACGCAGTTGTAAGGCATTTGCAGAGCGTTAATACCATTTAACTTCATTATAGGCGTTTGTGGTGCAGTTTTAACGCTTGGAAAACACCTATCAAATGCCTCAAAACCACGCATAGGGCGTTTGGGGAGTGTTTGAGGCGCATTAAAAACGCTTCCCAAACACCTGTCTAACGCCTGTCAAACTCTATAGGGGTGTTTGGCAAGAGTTAAAAATGAAGTCAAGTGTGAACGAGCCCTTAGACAGGAGCCAATTAGCCTACCAACATGTGTTTGGAGTGTGGGAGGAAACTGGAGTACACAGAGGAAACCCGCACAGGGAGTACATGCAAACTCCAGGCAGGTAGTGCTGTGGTTGGAATTCAAACCAATGACCCGAGTGCTGCTAACTGATTAAATAAAATTTCAGTGAATGAATAAACATGCTCTAAGAAATCACTTCATATCAGAAGTCCCTTATCACATCAGAAGCCCCCCCCATCACTTTAGTGTACCCCTTACATATCAGAGTTCCCCCATATTACAGGGTCCTCATCAGAGTCCCCCGTTGCATCATGGTCCCCATCAGAAATAGAGACCAGCTGATCAGATTCCTCAGTCTATGCACAGAGTTTGAGAATACACCACTGACCCTAGCTGTGGGCTGGGTAAAATCTTGTAGCCCCCTGGCTGGAGTGTGTAGACCCCCGATTTAAACAAAATAGCATACAATACCTAAGTGGAAAAAAAGATGATTTCCAATTTATTTACTAATTGTAAATGGCTTGGTCTGGTGGTGCCTTCAGAAGTCACATAATGGAATGTGTCACATGATCTCAAAATGAATGCACCTGTTCTGGGGGGTCCCAAAATTCATGAAAAACAAGTTATTACATTAACCAAAAGTTATTACTAGAAAAGCTACAATTTCTGGGGAAATTGTGTGAAGTGTTCTTGCCTCCACCAGTAGTCTACAACTGGAGTGGGCGGAGTAACTGGGTGGAGTGGCTTGTCACTCTGCTGCCTGCTCACACACCTGGGTTCCTATGGCAACTCACTCTACAGCAAGGGCAGAGAAGAGCGGTTAAAAACAAACTGCTCCAACTTGCTCACTTCACTGGTGGTCGCCATCTTCAAACGGTTGTAGTTTTAAAATTATAAATCTTACACCGAAGAGCTTTATATTGTGAGAATCACAAGACCCAGACCTACATTATGATGCATAGTATGTCTCTGAAATATTAAAAATGAAGGCACAGTCGCAGTTTAGAAATTGCCCTTCAAATTTGAGGTGGCTAGAGTGGAGTTTCAATGAATGTGAATGGGCGGCGTGAGTTGCAAACAAATGGTCATATTGTGAAAACTATCAGGACTATGGCTTAGCTGTGGGCATTTTTAGTGGCAGCAGGGATAGCTGAACGTTTTGATATAAGATTTGTGTAGGTGGGCTTGAAAATGAGGGAGTGATGCAGTTTAGAAATCATGTCCTGATTTTTCAGCTCACACTCTAGCTTTTGTCAGCTCCCACTCTAGTTTTGAACATTCCGCCATTCATTCCTATGGGACCAATTTCACCACAAAAACGCAGATATTTCGTGAAAAATCCAGCGAAACGTTCCACAAAGTTCCACACCTATCAGGAACAATCCGCACGTTTCGGTATATTACTGTCTATGTAGTGTAAAAACTGTGGGAGGAGTTAGGGTGGTAAATTTGGCTATAATAATAGGAATATATATGTGAGATAACAGTAAGTGGTCTTGAAATGCAAGAACACTTAATGACAAGACATCGCACTTGTCAATGGTGTCATCTTTGTAAACATTCTGTAGCCTTCTATGGATGTTGGACAGTCTGCACCCCTCCTTCATCAAGAACTCAATGACAGAACGTTGCTTCTGCTTGAAATCCGTTATTTACCTGCAATGGAAAAGACGAAGAGTTATTAAACAGGAAGAGTTACTGGACCAGCATATGAAATTTGAATGACCTAAGTTATTAAAATAGTTTATACCCTCTTTTGCATTACTTTTGGTACAGACCTCGTACATTGTACTAGAAGGTGTCCTTCTTACTCATCTCAGAAAGTTGGGAAGTACAGTATGCTTTATATACAGTATGTTGTGTAAGTCAAAAGGTGAAAATCCCACTGAAATTAGTATTAATTCAGGGTTGTAACACTACAACACATCAAAGTCCAAGGGGTTGAATACTATTGAATGCAAAGTACTACTGCATGTGTTATATTAGAGGATACAATAGAAGGTCATCAACTCTACCCTCCTAGGAGGGCTGCCTTAGCTACCCACATGGCAGAAAAACATATTTCAAATATATTTTAACCCCTCGCCTACAGGGCACTTATACCCCCTTCCTGCCCAGGCCAATTTCCAGCTTTCAGCGCTGTCACACTTTGAATGACAATTGCGCAGTCGTGCAATACTGTACCCATATGAGATTTTTATAATTTTTTTGTGACCAATAGAGATTTATTTTGGTGGTATTTAATCACCTCTGGGTTTTTTATTTTTTCTTAAACAAACCAAAAACCACTGAAAATTTTGAAAAAAAAAGGTTTTTCTTAGTTTTTGTTATAAAATTTTGTAAATAAGTGATTTTTCTCCTTCACTGATGTGCGCTAATGAGGCTGCACTGATGGGCACTGATAGACTGCACTGATGGACACTGATAGGTGGCACTGATGAGGAGGCTCTGGTAGGTGGCGCTGATGGGCATTGACAGGCATCACTGATGGGCACTGAAAGGCAGCACTCATATATTGCACTGATAGGCGGCCTTGCCTTGCGCCCGTCATTGTACTATATGGCGAGCAAGAGGCGATTAAAAATATTCTTCCAAAATATATTTACATATATTTTGAAATGCTACAATTTTGGCCATATTCAATATATTTCAATAAATATATATATATATATATATATATACTGTATGGTTGAAATGCGTTTTTATTACAAAATATATGAAAAATATTTTTAAAAAATACATTTCAAATATACTGTATGTCTTTAAAAATACAAATGTACATTTTTGGAATGCATTTGCAAATATATGTAAAAATTATACGTTCAAATTACTTTTTTATATGTTAAAAAAAATCTGAAGAATATATTTAAAAATATATTCTTCAGATTTTTTTAACA